ATCTGTACCCTCTTCTGGTGTATCTGAAGATAGCAACAGTGTACTCACATACATTAAATAAATAAATAAATAAATAATTCTTTAAAAAAAAAAAAAAAAGAAGTGAACAAGTCTCATCATACTATCAGGATAGTTAATATTGCTCCCAGGTGACTGAAAACAAAAAAATAAAGCAAATCTAGAATTCAAACAAAAAAAACCCAAAAAACAAAAAACCAAAAGCCGCCCAGTGGTGGCGCACGCCTTTAATCCCAGCACTTGGGAGGCAGAGGCAGGCCGACTTCTGAGTTCGAGAGTTCGAGGCTAGCCTGGTCTACAGAGTGAGTTCCAGGACAGCCAGGGCTACACAGAGAAACCCTGTCTTAAAAAACCAAAAACCAAAAAAAAGAAAGAAAGAAAGAAGGAAAGAAAGAAAGAAAGAAAGAAAGAAAGAAAGAAAGGAAGAGCTATGAAATTAAGTAAAATATTTGAACAGTCAAGTGGGCGGTGATGGCAAAGGCCTTTAATCTCAGAGTTCAAGGGAAGCCTGGTCTACATACTTGAATAGTTTTTTGTTTTTTGGTTTTTTTTTTTACTTAAAAAAAAGGTATATAGGTGATAAAGTCATAGAAAGACTTTCAACATCCACAACAACTAGGGAAATGCAAACAAAGGCACAATGGACTGGCCTGGTGCATTTCACACAAGTCTCGGTTAGATCAAAGTTGATGAGGAGGAGGTTGAACCAGAGCTCCCCGTGTGAAGTGGTGTACAAGCTGGAGAACAGCTTGGAATTCTCTTAGCCAGCATGTGTGCCACCATGACTCAGATGTCCCATTCAGTCACGAGTCAGAGCAAGGAAGTCAGTTTCCCTGAGCCCCACTGTCATGGTGGCAGTTCCCATGTAATGACCCCAGCTTGGAAACAATCCGGTGCAACAGCAGGTAAGATTCTGAGGAAATTCTCTCCTCTTCATACAGTGGGGTGCTTGTCAGCATCCCAGAAGAGCTCCACGAGACCTAGAGCTGATTCTATGGATAGGGACGGACACAGTGAGAGGAAGAACACATGTCCACAAGGGGCCATATCCTTGTGAGAAGAGACAGGACGCTTGTTCTCCCTGCCAGGTGAGGGGACAGTGGCCTTCAGCAGGTTGGAAGATGGCTCCTCCATCTTGAAATTCCCATCCTTTAGAAAAATGAGAAATTGTTTAACCCAGTTCATGGTAATTTGTTATAACAGTTGAAAATGAGACACAAAGGCTTTGAAATTGAGCAGAAATCCACATATCAGAAAACAAATCGCTTCTAAATGCGTGTATAATTCTCTCCCATTAAGAACGTCCCGATTATCCCTAAGTGAAACCCAGTGCCCATTAAGCACTTGTTTCTTCTGGTTGGTTTTAAAAACAAGATGCATTTCACAGGCAGGCTTGGGAAGAACACGCTGGAACCAAGGACACTGAGATATCCATCTTCTGCGTGAAGGAAAGAGAGAATGAGGAGGGACAGAGAGCGGGACAGTGGCAGTGAAGACTGGACATTACAGCTTTGCCATGAAGAACAAGGCTGGAGGGCAGGCCTGGGTCCACATGAGGAATCTCATCCCCGGGAGACTGTCAGCTTCCACATGAACACACCCTATGGTTAGGGCTCTAGTGTGGACCTGATGTCCTCCCCCAAATAGTCAGGGCTGCTCTGCACAGCCCAAGAAGCAAAGGCAAACAGATTCAAAGACACAGAACAGAGTAACTTGGAGATGAGGCCCTGGCATAGAGATCGGACACCAGAGACCAGGCAGCTCTGCTTAGAAACTCAGGCCAATGGCAGCTACTGTTCTGTAGGTGCTGGGGGAGAGCTGTGAATTGGAACATTTAATCTTATATTGTGTCCTCCTCTGTAGGGGAAAGCAACCTCACTAAAAAAAAAAAAGAACTGTGTGTATACTAAACAGGTGTTCACTCACACTTCAGGGTTAGCTCTGGTCATACTAACTGCCCTTCCAGCCCAATTACTGCCATCTTCAGGAGCTGGGCTAGCTCACAGAAGATCCTCCTAGCTGGGCTTATTGACAGCTGTTGTTTCCTCATAGAAGGAGAGGGGTGGGGGAGGGTTGTGGGACCCTCACCTGGGTATCCAGTCACTCCTCCCAACCAGTATGTATCCAATTCTTGGGGTGGCATGTATGTAGCTAGAGTGTGTAGGCAGCGATGCGTGAGGAGTCACTATCCACGCTGTGTGTAGATCTTTCAGCATGGCTGCCTTAGCGTCACCAGCTCATAAACTCTTACTCATTGCTTTGCAAATGAGCCCGATAAAGTTCTCAGTTCTCCAGAGTGAACTTCAGTGGAATCCTACCTGAGTTTGACTTTGGAGTCCAGAAGGAGGGGTACACATTGATTTTTTTGTCTCTCCCAGGGAAGAAATTTTAGCAATACTTGGCGTGTAGCTGGTGGGAGCCAACACTGAAGACGAGGTTGGGAAGAGTGGTGCACCTGATGAGGGGAATGATACAGGCAACCCGGGTGATGTTTGCAGAGGAAATTTTGGCATGGTCTGTCGTCCCTGTTTGTAGTGGGGGTAGTGGCAGGCCACTTGGGTGGGGGATGTATATGTGGGAAATCCCTGGGTGGCAGTCCTCTTCCAAATGGTGTGGTGTGGCTCAGCTGTTTGATGGGTGGGGTCCACTCCAAGAATACGGAGATATTTCGAGAACAGCTATTGGTCTAGAGCAGACAGGACAAACCCTGGAAGTGGTGCATCGAGGGAAGAGGCATCAGCCATGCGCTCAGGGTAGCCTGGCTGCAGCTATGGGGAGTAAGAGGTCTAGCCGAGGCAGAGGTGACTAGCCATAGGGTAGATATCAGATATCCATAGGATAGATATCAGACTGAACTGGCAGGAAAATTGGGTAAAAGAGGGTGAAATGAAGGTTTGGCTTAGTGTGTCTCAAGACTGGGAGGCAAGGAGTAAAAAGAGACCTTCAGCTCTGTATTATTTGTGTTACTGAACCCTCCCAAGACCCCCCCAAACCATGGGAAGTGGGAAGCAGCAGAGGTGAATGGACATAGCCCTCAGGTCCAGCCTTCAGTACAGAGAAAGGAAAAAAATCTGAGAGCAAGTGTGTAGTCAGGGTCTTCAGTGTGGTCCAGTGTGAGAGCCCATGGTCACCAGAGAATGGTCAAAGCTGGAGGTGTGCAAGTTGGGAAGAGAGTCTTGAACAAGCAATGGCTGGCTCTCTCTCACAGGCTGTGGGATAAGAGAAGGATGGAGTCACTCTGGAGCTGAGGACACAGAGAAATGAACAATAGCACCACACACCTGTTCTTGACGCAAGCTGTGAAGCCCAAGGCTAACACCAGGACAACTGACGGACTGGCTCAGGAGCCATCAGGTACGTTTGGTTATTAGTAGTGGAGGTCCCCATGGATATCAGGGCTGGAGGACAACAGAGGAGGGACAAGTGGCACTTCCGAGGGAGCTAGGGATGAGGGAAAGAACACATGATGCCCAGGTTACAGGCCTGAAAGGACAGTGATCTCTACAGACTTCAGGAGGACCTGGACGGAGCTTTAGTGGTGTTGCCGAGCCCCCTTGGTAGGGTGGGATCTTTATGAGTAGCGAAGCCTCTGGCAGACCTAAGTGACTGAGACTTGTATGTCTGTGAGGTGGGAGAACAATGCAGACCTGGTAAGAAAGGTCTGTCTGGTTACCTGAAGGCAACTGTGGCAAGAAGTACATGGAGCCCAAGGTCCTTAAGAAACAAATCAAACAAACACAGAAAAACCTTCAGATGGGACCTTTTCATCAAGCACTTGGTTAATGGCATGCCTTTGAAAGAAAAAGGCTATAAAATCCTAAATGACTACTTTGAAGCAAAATCAGTGATTTTTATTTTCCTCAGTTCTTAATCTGGCAGCTAGAGTTAAAAGATTTTGTGAAACTAAGTGTTAAGATTTGACTTCACTGAGCCCTCAAGAACAGGGGACATAGTTCAGTAGTAGAACACTTGTCTAACATGTGAAAATCCTGGGTTCCATCCCAGCTGGGGAAAACAAGCCCACAAGACTCAAATCCTTTTACAGCCCACTCAACGGCTGAGCAAAGCTCGAGTTTTGTTTCTAATCTGTGAAATGGAAAGGCTACCCACAGGAAGGTGCTGGGTACTATTTGTGTCCACATGGAAATGTGAACATACTCGTGGGCACACAGTGGGTCATAAGGTCAGGATCCCTATGGAAGAGGTCACGTTAGTCAGGGGAATGGCTACGTACTGAACAAGACAGGAGAATCTGATCAGATAGAGAACGGAGTGGAACGTGGGCTGCTGGAGGGGGCAGGGCTTCCCTCTGCAGTGAGGCAATGCTCTCAAGTTACTCTTTATCAGTACAGTTTACAAGGCTGAACTTTATCTGTCTACATGGATCACATACGTTATTCTGTTAGTTTTTGTGGTGCTGGGACTCAAAGCTGGGGCTTTGTGCATGCTCAGCAAGTGCTCTCCTACTGAGCCACAGGCAACCCTGATAGCCTTATCTTAAGAGAGAGAAATCATGAATGTCTGGTTCAGTGCCTGAGAAATAAGGTATTTCTGTGTGCTGGAGAATCAAGTTTAACAAGTCATTTGAGGAGACTGAGGACATAATTTCTGACTAAAATACACTTTTTCATCATAACCCCTGACATTTTACTATAAAGACATCCTTCTTTTAAAAAAAAAAAATTATGTGTGTGAGTGCTTTACCTGTGTGTATGTCTGTACCATGTATATGCCTGACACCCAGTGGCCAGAAAAGGGCATGACACAGCTGTGAGTTGCCATGTAGGTGCTGGGAACTGAACCCAGGTCCTCTGGAAGAGCAGCCAGTCAATCCTCTTAATCACTGTGCTCTTTCTTCAACCCCTCTCCTTCATTTTTGAGCCCAGACACCACCCAACTGTGGAGAAGTCCTTGCAGAAATGATGTCACAATCCCAGAGGGGCTCATGTTATCTTGCCGGAACAGATAACAACAGACATGGCTATTTAGATATTTAATTTATTAAATTATATAACAAAGTTTTTTCTATACAGTCAGAAAATGCACATTTAGATGAGAACAAAAATTAAGTAAAAATACAATAATATTGGTTCCAAGACACTATTTTAAAAGCAAAAAATTAGAAAGTGCATTTGGAAAAGAATAGATTAAAAAAAATCTGTATTGGCATTTTTCACAAGGAATCAATCATCTTCCATTGGAATAAAGTATGATCAGAACTGATTTCCCCCCATCACTAAGAGCTACTAGGGTGTGGTACAAATATTTTGGTACTACAATTTTAGATCAGATTGAAAAAAAAATTCTTTAAGACATGGCTCAACTTTCCCAGCTTCCCACCAGATTATCGTGTTTAGACCCTGTTTCTCGTCCCCAATTCCCTCTGAGAAAGGCGCATTGTGGGCACACACGGGAGTGAATGAGTTTGGGACCACAGTGGGAAATGTTACATCTTTTTGGAGATCAGGCCAATTAATGCCCTCTACTGTAAAATGGGAACGGCGTACAATCCGTCATTTGAGTAGGTTTGTTTGCTGTCACATCTGCCACAAATGACTTGGGCACAGCCACGTATTTCAACCACTTAATATTACAAGGTCAAAAGCTCAATGAATTTCCAAAATTCTTACCTAAAGACAGAAGATAAAGTATTAGAAGTTGGAAAGGCTAGACCCGTACTTAAAAGCCACCTCCTCAGGCTGAGATCATCAACAATAAGACAGGACAGTAACGTGGTGAAGGCCAAGGCACCTCAACTCCACAGGGCTTGTGTCAGAGCAGCGAGCATGCTTCTCACTCACATATCCACACCCAGCAGGGACGTGCTCAGCATCCTCAAGAGCAGCTCTTCCTCACCTGTCCCCACTTCTGAGTACCAGGAAGAAGCAAAAAGATATGCTCAATAAAAGTAAATGTTGGTATCAAGAGAAAAATAAAAGGTGACCAGGGTAGGAGGCAGCGGATCCTCCGGTATCGGCTGTGGATCTCGGTAACAATGTACTGCGCACTAAGTCACTGGGCCACGTGAGAAACTGTAGAAATGTACTGTTTGGAGCCAGGGTTGGTGGTATACATCAGGTAGCAGTCCAAGGGTCTCAGGAAGCTGAGGCAGGGAGTTCAAGGCCAGTCAGGGCTAAGCAGTGAGACGCTCTCAAGCCAGGCAGACAGACACACTTGGGATTTTCTGCTGTTTGTTTCCACTTTTCATATCTTTTAGTGAAGTGGGAAGTTTTGAATGGTTACTAAAAATGGTTTTTTAAAAAAAGATATTCTGTAAAAACCATGGCTACAGGAGGTACAGTTCATTGGGATGACAAATTAAAAAAACCCTCTTACCTCAGGCTCTGACAAGAAATTCTTCACTGCCAAAGCCTAAGCCTGATAACTGGGTAAGTCCAAAATGGGAGAAACAAACTTGAATATTGAATGTCATAAAACTGAAGTTCCAATTGCCAATCTCGGGGTCCTGTACAGGGCAGAACTGGAAGGGAGAACAGTCTTTCCTCTAGGGCACTGCAATGGAAGGTCAGACCCAGCATCTACACTAGCGTTCCTTGAAAGAACTGATTTACTCTCAAAAAGAAAAGAAGCAACATAATTCTATTTGTTCATCTGAGTACGGCCTCCCGGGGCGGCCCATCTGCTGCCAGCTGCTGTGCTGTGCTGCCAGCAGTGGGGCAGGACCACGTCCTAGCTACACTCACTCATCAACTTTAGTGAATGAAACATGTATTCAAACCAGTAGAAAAGACTAGCTGTATATTTAAATAAATAACTTTATTTATGATACTCCAGATTTTATATATGCCCACTATAAAACAAACAAAGTCCTATGTCCCATAAAATCTAGCTGAGGCACAACTGCCAATCAAGACCCTTTGAAAAAAATCAAAGACAATGAAGTGTCAGGGAAGAGAAATCCTGTTCTCTCAAAGAGAATTTAACAAACAAATTTCCCTGATTCTTTTAAGGTCCACAGAGAGAAATTTAATTGTCTTTTAAGGGCATGCCCAGTCAACAAGTTGATTAACCCATATTTAGAAAAATAAACCCCATAATTAAGAAAAATATATCAAACGCCTTTCATGCCCAGAATGTACTAACACTTCAAATGGCAGAATGTCAGACCTGTCGGTCAGTCCCAGACTGGGTGTCAGTCTATCCATGAGCAGTAAGATATCAATGGCCCAGAGGCACCATCCCACACCGCAGAATGGTGAAGAGCTACACTCTAATATCCTCACTGCCCGTGGACAACGTTCTAGAGGACATTCCAGGGGGACCAGGAGCCTTCTCTCTTGGTGAGCACAGATGTTGGAGTCTTTACACTATCTGCTAGTTCAGTAAGACAAGTTACCAGTTTACAGGTGCTGAGAAGTGGCTAACTTTGAGAGGCACTCATAATTCTGTCACTGTACATAGTAACAGAGAGGTGCAAGTAGGAGTCACAGGCCCCGTCAGTGGTCACCCTGTGGCCTGGGAGTAGGAAGGAGCTTAACAGAGAAGGGAGGGACCATCTGCACAGGGCAAGAGTACTGTGGCATCAGGCTGCAGGCTAACCTGCTGTAGGCTGCACAACACCGAAAGACAGGAAGGCCTGGAGAGCCACCCCTCACTGAGAACCAAGTCCCCGTCCTCAGTTCCTAGTATTAAGCTTCACATGTCATGGGACTGCTAGGGGCAATGACAGACACTGGCTGGCTGCCAGTGAAAATGCAACTTTATCATGTACAAACAAATATTAACCCAATGGAAGAAATAATAAAGCAATGACCAGCTCCTTTGCAAGGCCTGCCATTCTGATGTGTTGGCGGCCGGTACAGTTGACCCAGGGCTCACAACTGAAACAGAAAAGAGACACCCTTTCTACAGCGCTCTCCATTTCAGACCGCCTCAAACATGAAGCTGGTCTACCAACAGCTTACAGATTCCGTGGGAAATGGAATTTTTCTTGACTGCCAAGAGTTAGGGACACAGAAGAGAATATAGATCACAGAGTATCAGCAATAGACAGCTGATATCTCATCACAAGTGTTAAATAAAAGGACAAGAATTACTTTTATTCACATCCAATCTCGTGGCTGAAAGCAAAGCCGTCTTTGGATGTAGAGAGCCTGGTGCTGTGAGGAGTCCAGCTGTGAGGCCCGCTGGTCATCTGGCTTCACCAGTCACTGAAGCCCTGGTTCTTGCCTCTGCTTGCTTACCTCCTAGGGAGACACAAGCAACTGAAACCTTTTGTTGTTTTTAAGATTAAAAACAGAGTAATGTGTATTAGAAAAGATAGCACAGAAAAACTGGCTTCAGCTCAGTCTGACCAGGTCAGAGCCACGGGTGCAGTTTAGAATTCATCCGCTGGCAGGCTCATGGCCGGGCCGGTCTTTCTCCTTCATAGGTTCCTCACTCCAGATCAGGCCATGAAGATGGTGGGCAGAGAGTCCTGGGGCCGTGCTTTCAGTGGAATGCATACAGCAGCAACAGGATGGTGCAGATGCCAATGACACCTCCAAGGATGAGCGAGTCACGCCGCTTCCTAAGGTTGATCCTTTGTATCAGGCTGTTCACGGCAGGAAAGCGGTCTTTAGGAAACCTTGGTTAAGGTCATGCTTGAGAGAGGACTCTTTAATGAAAAGTTACGGGAATCACAAACAGCCAAGGACGAGAGACCGTGGAGGAGAGAGGAGCAACCTGCATTCCCAACCTGGGATAGACTCATCCACCCAGTCTGTATGGTGCACAGAACAAAGGGAAGAGTCAGTGGAGAAAATAAGAACAGCCGGCAGGATCCACCGGAGCTTTTGGGCTTGGGCATGAGTGAGCTCTGCAGGGCAGGGGGCCAGGCCCCACCCATCCTCCTTTCCCTTTTCTGTCCTGTGCTCCTCTCCTCAGAGACAGAAGCTCAGGAGAAAACCTGGTTCTCTCGAACCCAGGAAGGAATCCTTCTTGTGCTTAGGAAATTGGGTGGGTACTAATGAATTATTTTAAAAATTCAGGTTTACTTTGCAGTGGTCAGCACACTGTAGCAGGGAAATGGGCTAAATGCTATAGTTGCTCTATTTGGGGAATATTAAAAAAAAGGAGATTGCTGTGGCTTACATCTTTAATCCCAGCATTCGGGAGGCAGAGGCAGGTTTTGAGGTCAGCTTGGATACAGAGCGAGTTCCAGGATAGCCAAGGCTACACAGAAAAACCCTGTCCTGAAAACCAAAACCAAAGAGATATATACATTACACACATGCACACGCATACACATATACACACAGGTGCGTGCAAAAAAAAAAGAGATAAAAAATAAAATAACAAAGTGGCATCAGGAAACCTAAACTATGGTGGACACACTCTTGCTCAGCTATCTTGTGGACCATCCGCCCCTGTTTCTAACAGTCTAGCTCAGGAGTGAGACAGTCAGAAGCATTTATACTCACAGTAAACAGCCATCCCTTGGCTAGTGGCTAAACTAGAAATGGGCACTGGTTAAGGCTGGAGGAGTTAGTGACAGCTGTTGGAAAGCTTATGCGTTTCCTATGGCCTTCAATCTTTGTAGCAACCATCTCTGTCATCATACGGAGAGAGTCTGCCTGAGGGCCAGGCTAACAGAGACAAAAGGTCTGTGCTAAGAGGGAGGAGACGGGGAACAGCAGAGTCCTGCTGACCGTTACACAGATACAACCAAACTAGGCCCTCATGTTTGTATGGCAGGTACTGTGCCACTGAGCCATCTTTTAGATCCTGAGCACACATTCTTCTGGAATGATGCGTGCTTTATTTGTAGCAGACACTATGCTAGGGTTGGGGATACTGCTCCTTTAAGAAGACTTGGGGTTTAGGGAACAGATACATTCAGGGAGAAAAGGCACAAAACACAACGGGAACAAAGTTGAATGGACAACTCAGTTTCAACCAGTATGCAAACTTACCTATCTAGCCCCACTTCTGGTTTTACTTTAGAGAAAGGGTCTCACTGTGTAGCCCTGACTGGCCTGGAACTCAGGAGATCTGCCTGCCTCTGCCTCCTAGTGCTAAAGGAATTGTGCTACCAGGCCTGGCTTCTATTTTATTTTCTATAGTTACATAAAATACACTTGTACATTCACTAAGTTGCCTCTGTTCTTGCTGGTGACTAAGCTTACAGTTTATAATAAATAAGTAACCCAGTTTCTTGTGAGGCCCAGGCAGGAAGATCATCTGAGTAGCTGAGTCCAGGTGTTCTTAGCAGCCTGGGTGTTGTGTAACTGTTTCCTCTGAGATTAAAACATCCCATTTTGTAGGAGGTAAACAACTCAAAGCAGCCCCAGGAAGTCCTTGAAACTGACCAGATTCACTAGGCACCTCCCTGCCAGGGTAAGCAGGGCTAATATGCAAAGAAGTCTCAAACAAGCCAAGCTGAAAGAAGACTCTTAAAACCAGACCAGCAACCTACAAGAGGTTTAGACCATTGTCCCTTGGAAAGGACGCTCTCCAAGCTGTTGAGCTGCCTGCCGGTTGTGTACTGTGTCCAGGTTCCCTAGCTCTTGTGAGCTGCCACCCATGCTGGAATGGGCCTTGCTGATGCATTCCTGCTCCTGTAAGTCATCGCACATGCATGTCCCTGGAAGTAACCACAGTAAAGCATCAGTTCAACAAGCTGGACATTGATCGTGTCCATACTTTTCGGTTTGTCTTGGTCTCCCTGTGTGAGGTGAGTGAGTAGATTGTATCACCCCAGAAATGACTCTGTATTTACTGACCTTTATGTGAGTCCTGGAGATTCAAATTCACACTAGGTGACAAGGAGAGATGGGGTGGGGGTGGGGCTAGCAGAATAGTCTGATGATTTCATGGGAACATGCCGGGGCCTAGGGAGGTGACTCAGTGGACAAAGGTGCTTGCTATAGAAGTGTGAGGAACTGAGTCGCCAGGACTTACATAAAACGACAACGCACAGCGCAAGCACCTGCAATCCTCATTCTCCTGTGGGGAGATGGCAGGAGAATCCCTAGAAGCTTAAGGGCCAGCTAGCCTGGGGTAAGCAAAGGAGTAACAATAGACACCCTGTCTCACGGCAGGCGGAAGACAAGGGCTGGCTCTGAGGTTGTCCTCCGACTTCCGCATGTGTGCCACAGAAACATGCAATGCGCACAATGGGAACTTAAAAGGTGCATCTCCAATTTGCCAAACAGTCTGAGCCCTGTGATTATGGGCCAGGCCACTTTTTTGAGCTTACTTCTTTATCTGAAAAAAATAAAAATAAAAATAAAAAAGTCCCCACTCTCTCCCTTTTATAGGGTGAGAGACCGCAGCATGGGCAGGGAGGGACGTGCTGTGTAGACTGCTTAGCATGGGTAGGGAGGGGTGTGCTGTGTAGACTGCTCAGCATGGGTGAGCGACATGCTTTGGGATGTGTGCTTTTACACTAGACTAATAACAACACTGACAAAGGACTGGAAAATGCCAAGCAATGCCAGGGACATCCTTTTTCTTAGGCAGATAGATATTAAGATAAAAGTGCCCCTAAATCACTATAGACCAGATGATATTCACCTTTTGAAAATCACAAGTTCTTGCTCACAGTCATCTGGGAAAACTCCCACCCCCGAGCGTCTTTGACCTTAATCCTAGTTTATGTTGAGAAGCTAAATTTTTTTTTAAAAGAATTATTTATTGTATGTATATGAGTACACTGTCGATGTCTTCAGACACACCAGAAGAGGGCATCAGATCCCATTACAGATGGTTGTGAGCCACCATGTGGTTGCTGGGAATTGAACTCAGGACTTCTGGAAGAGCAATCAGTGCTCTTAACTGTTGAGCCATCTCTCCAGCCTGAGAAGCTAAAATTTGAAAGCAGAGGTCACAGCTAAGAAGCAAGGCCTCTCCTCTCCCCTGGGACTTGTGTGGTTACCACGTTCTGCCAACAGGTACAGTACACCTGCAGTGTCCTGGCCCCTTCCAGGTACCTGCAAATGACTTGTCCTCCAAAGTGCCAATTAAACCACAGTGTGTGTGTGTGTGTGTGTGTGTGTGTGTGTGTGTGTGTGTGTATGTGTGTGTGTGTTTGGGGGGTGGTAGTTAAGAACACATGCAGGGAGTACTAATGTGGAGCCAGAGCTTTTAAGGACAAAAATAATTTTGTGAATACTTTTTTTTTTTTTTTTTAGAATGTGGAAACTCTTTTTTTTTTTTTTTTTTTTAAAGATTTATTTATTTTATGAATGTGAGTACACAGTTGCTGTGATCAGATACACCAGAAGAGGGCATCAGACCCCATTACGGATGGTTGTGAGCCACCATGTGGTTGCTGGGAATTGAACTCAGGACCTCTGGAAGAGCAGTCAGTGCTCTTAACCGCTGAGCCATCTCTCCAGCCCGTGAATACTTTTATAAATGAAAATCTCTATAATGAAATCTCTGGTGAGATGTTCTCTAGAAATGGTGTTAAACATAAGTATATCACAAAGTAAGGAAATCCCCACACGATGCAATTGCTAAGGGTGTCTACAACTACCAATGTTCGTGACATGCACCTCTACTCCAGTAAAACAAAGAACAAAAAGAACAAGCCCTTCATCCCACCAACATTTCACAAAGGATACTGGCCAGAGTGTTCATCTTGCTGTGAATTGACTTGAGCATCCCTCTCTGGGAAGTCATATTCTCTTTTGTTGCCATAGCAATGCTTCAAGAGAGGAGAAAAGAGACAATTTGAGTTGGCACGGGGGCACTACCTTGTTCAGTTCTTCACACCTCTAAAAGCAAACAGAAAGCTACAGTAAGCAACCGATCCTGGGATCAGCAGGAAATGGGTTCAAATCCCTGTCCAGCTACCTTCCCACTGTCCTTGTCTGACGTAAGCTACTGTTACACAGGGAGTCTTGTCATGAGTCATCTCGTGTTCTCTTCGAAGTAACAAATGAAATGAGACACTAAGAGACAAATCATACATTACAACACTTCTTCAATGGCTTAAAAAAACGCAGTAAAATAATTTTAATCAGGAAAAACTGTTAAGAGGAAAGCAAAGATACAACCATTAAAAAAAAAAAATCACAACCATAAGAAAGGGGCCCAAGTCACACCCATGCTCAACCAGCTCTCAACATAAAACAAATGGGGGTTGAAAATTCTAGAAGACTCAGTAGGCAGATCTTGGGCTTCACTAAACACACTGTGAAAGGGGAAGAACTGGTCTTTTACAGAACAGGCCACGCTGATGACCTGGTGAGATACGAGTTGATCCGCTAGGACTGCCAGGCAGGTATTTTCATGATCCGCCCCAGGCAGGAGAATCCTAGAGAGCAGGGTCAGTGTCCACTTTGATAAGTAACACATATGAGTGCTTTAGACAGTAACATACAAAATGCAAAGGGGGCACTTTTGATCAAGAAACATTGCACTCGTTTGAAATAGCCAAAGAATAAAAGATACTCTAAAACTTATTTTAAAAAGAGTCATAGAAATTGAGGGAAATGGTTACTAGATACAATTTCCTGGTTTATCTTTTGTAGCTAGATACCATTTTCTGGTATATCTTAGATACATTTTCTTCCATGGACTAATCAGGACAAAAGCACTCACTCTGGGGAAGGATTGTCTTAATCCCTGGTTCCCTTGAAGGCTCTAGAAGAGCGCACCAGCCAGAGAAGCTACATAAACCTTCTCAAGCAAGAGACCCACAAGAAAGCCCTGGAGCCTGACAGTGGGAGGCTGTGGACCTGGGAGTCCTGGGGCTGAGAAAAGGGACTCACTTTCCCTGGTTCCTGTGCTTGCAGAGGGACTTAGAGGCCCAGGGGCTTCCAGGCTGGCTACTGGTGAGAATGTTCAGCCCCTGGAGAAGACAATCATCTAGGTCATCCACTGGTGATAAGCTGCTGGGTATTCATGGGCAAATTCACACACACTGAATGGGCTGAGCCTCACAGAACAAGCTGCCAGCTGTTTTACTGAAGAGAGATGCTAGAGGAATGACAATTCATTCAAAACTTTAATCTCACTATTAAGAAGACAGTGTGTAAGGAGACACATAGAAGGATATTTACTGAAGTAATTAAAAAAAAAGCAATAAAAATATCAGAAAACACCCTATGAAGCCAGTGACCTCAAAGAACAAAAGCAGAAAGGTTTAAGTTAGACAAAGGCTGTTTAGAAAAACCAAGGAGTGGCTGTCTAGTGAGTGGTCAGGAAATGGTCACTGAGGACAAGAAAGGAAATGGAGAGTCACTGACAAGCAAACAGGTGACATAAAGGAAGCAGAAGGAGACTATCTTTCATGATGCTGCCAGGAGGACCTGGGACGCTATCTGTGGGGCACTGGCCAAGGAAGATGAAGGAAGTTCTGTGTCGCTAAAATGCACACATACAGGTGGTATTACAAACGGTCAGTTTCTTAAAGAGGGGCAGTGATGAAGGCCAGGCAGAGTGTCATGAAGATCCTAGAATCCAGGCCACTGTGTAGGAACTGAGGCCTCAGCTTCCCAAATGCTGGAGTATAGGCGTGTGTCATGATATCTAGCTCAGAGGATCCTCTGAAAGCACATGGAAGAAATGAAAGCAGGAGAAGAAATGGAAATTGACCAAATTCTGCTTGAAATCACAACCAGGGCCTTGAACTTGAACACTCCTACTTTAAAACAGGTTTATGGTCTTATAGAAAGAGAACTGCAGCCTGCAGTCAGGACAGTCTCTGAAGCATGCAGGCCTCTGGTGTTTGAAGGGGAACCATCATTATCTCATGTGAACCTGACCACAGTGGACAGGCATTAAAACATAATCTCCACAAAGCACTTTGTATTCCTTGGAGACGGAATATGACATTGTTATTACCTTGTTGAATATGCATGATTTCCAGAACCACATAAAGTCTATCTAGACACACTTCCTATCTACCCCATCATCTGGAGTTGAGCTAAGTGAAATATAGGCTGTTATTTCAATTTCAAATATTTAAGAGATAAAATGTAAGTTTCATATACATAATGCTTCAAAAATGATAAATCATTGATATGCTTACTGGAACTTCAGACTCCTTACGACTATTATAGACTAAACATAATTACCTATTTTTAAAAATTAATTTGCCTTGTATGTATGAGTGTGTGTGTGCATGTGTGCGTGCATGTGCCTGCAAGTGTCGCAATGTACATGCAGAGGTCAGAGGATGGCTGTTGGGAGTTGGCTCTCTCCTTCCACTAAGTAGGTCCCAAGGATCTGGTGATCAGACTTAGTGGCAGGCAAGTCCATGAGCCATCTCACTGTCTCGGAGCAGTGGTTCAGTATAAATGTCTGGCCTCAGAGCTATAAGAGACTCTAATTAGGGGGTCCGAGGCTCAATATTAGTTACTGGTCATGTGACCACAGATAAATCCCATAATTTCTTTTTTGTTTTGGAGAAGGAATCTACTGATCAATGTGTATCTCATAAACCTGTTACTAAGATTAAATGCCCTTAGGAAGAAAGGCCACAGCAGAAATGCATTACTACCTAGTAAAGTTGTCATCACTTAAGGAGCATGGCTTGATGCTCACTCTAGTGGACACGGCTGGCTTGAACTGGTCAGTACATGTGCAAACACAGCAGTGAAGAACCACAAAAACTACTCTTACCTTATTGTTTCTTCTATCAGACGATCAGAGCTGAAACAGAAAGTTAAAAATCTGAATTACTATGAACATTTATTTAGTAGTATTTCTTATTTTTCTATATGTATAAATTCTATAGCCATTTTTGTATATAAAATAATTAAGATTTTTATTTTTAGAGCATCTAGAAAATCCTGAACTCTGAAATTAATTCAGCCACACATGAAGTAATTTACATTTTGCTTTTATCAGATTAAACCTTCCAGGTTTTGTGTGTGTGTGTGTGACATTCCTTATTATTAAAGTCTGGCTAGTTCTAATGACAGCATCAAGGAGCGAAGGTTAAATCTAGATAACTCACGGTATTCACCACTATCATAACCAACTTGTCGAGAAGGGTGACAGATGTGGTTCTGATCCCTCTAATTATTGTCATTCAAACATCAGAGTTTCTTCCTTTTTGGGGAAATATGGATTTTTTTGTTGTTGTTGTTTTGTTTTTTAACTAAACTAGATCTCAGCTCCTGAAACTTTAGAATCTAAGAACGTGAACACAGGCAATGAATAGGCACCTCTGTAGAGTGCGTATGTTAGCACCTCACGCCTTGTAAGAAACAGTCACTCCAGGGAGAAAGATACAAGAGCTGAGCTTGGTAAGGGGCAGCTAAACCTCCATGAGCGCAGAAACAAGTTTCTAGACACTGCCGTTTTACTCGAGTAGCACAGGAATAAGTATTTGCATTTCCCCAGCTACTTCTTTCCAAGAGTTACTGTTAGTTTATAAAACAGAACACTGAGGTTTCAATTTAACAGTGATATAAAGTTTGAAGATGAGATTCATAAGAATGCCAAAAATACCTTGCATAAGTTGTACAATTAAGAATTTAGCATACCTTTAATCCCAGCACTTAGGAGGCAGAGGCAGGCAGATTTCTGAGATCGAGGCCAGCCTGGTCTACAGAGTGAGTTCCAGGACAGCCAGGGCTACACAGAGAAACCCTGTCTTGAAAAACAAACAAACAAACAAACAAACAAACGATTTTAAAAAGTGAGGGCTGGTGAGATGGCTCAGTGGTTAAGAGCACTGACTGCTCTTCCAGAGGTCCTGAGTTCAATTCCCAGCAACCACATGCTGGCTCACAACTGGAAACAGCTACAATGTACTCATATAAATAAAACAAATGTTAAAAACATATAAATAAAACAAATGTTAAAAACAAAAAAAGGAAGAGAGAAAGAAAGAAAGAAAGAAAGGGATAAAGAAAGAAAGAAGGAAAGATTTAAAAGTAACAAAGACAGTGATTAAAAGCCAGATAATCTTGGAACTCACTATGCAGGCATGCACCACCATGCCTGGCTTATTTAAAAGTATTTAGATCAAACATTTTGGTAGGTAAAAGAAAGAATTTCGAGTCGATAGGTGAGTTTCACTCTAACAGAAGTGGAATGCTTCAGAACTTCCACTTCTTTTCTGTTCTATGAATGTTTACAAGGACCACGGGCTGGGGATGTAGCTCAGCTGGAAGGCATAAACTGAGGAGAGTGGCACATGCCTGTAAACCCAATCCTTGGAAAGTAGAGGCAGGGAGATCAGAAGTTTAGGGTTATCCTAAGCTACATAAGGAGTTCAAGGACAACTTGGCATATTGGAGACCTTGTCTCCCACAAACAAAACCAACAAGTAAGCAAACAGGACTGAAAACCTTTAAAACCAGATGAATCCCAACATCATTCTATAAAACAAGAAGGAAGCACCTTCTAATTGGCTTTGAATTCTCTTACATATCGAGTAAGAGCTAACCAGAAAAAAAAATATAAATATATATATATATTTCCCTTCCACCCACCCTACGGTCAAGGTTCAAACACGAGGCTGTCTGAGCCCATCTCATGGACTTTTCATGTCACAAAGCTCACAAGAGATCTAAACAAAAGCGGCTTGCAGATGCACAGGCCTATAGGAATGTTTGCTCTAGATCAAGGCACTTTGATGTTTCTTAGCTGCTCTTTAGTGTAGGCTCTCCGTTTATTCTAAAACCTTTCAAATATATGTTTATGTGTGTGCTGAGCATATATAGGTACCCATGGAGGCCACCAGAGGGCATCAGGCCTGGAACACGGAACTGAAAGCAGTCCTCTGAAGAGCAGCTTTTTCTCTCCAACCCCTCCTAAGTCTTGACATAAACTACTTACACATCCCAAAGTCTAGTTCAAAAGCTGTATCCTTAGGAGCTTCTCCAGATGCACCTGTGTATCCAGGCACCTAACTCTTTACATTACATTATGTCCTCACGTCAACTCATTTGGTAATATTCTGAGAAACTGTTAAGGAGTCAGAGCATTAAGTGCTTCAGATAGTATGTACAGCAGTGGTTCTCAATTCATGGGTGGGACACGGCCCCTTTGGTGGTCAAACAACCCTTTAACAGGGGTCACCTAAGACCATCTGCATATCAAATATACACATTACGATTCACAACAGTAGCAAAATTATATTTTGAAGTAGCAATGAAAATAATTGTATGGTTGGGGGTCACCTCAACATGAGGAGCTGTATTAAAGGGTCACAGCGTTAGGAAGGCTGAGAACCGCTGTGCTGCAGAGACAGAAGGGTTCCACCTAAATTCTCAGTTAAGACTTGAAAACAAGCTCTCTCAGAGGGAGGCATGCTTGTTTACGACTCCTCTAAGCAGCTTGGGTCCCAGGGCAGGGAATGAGTTTCATGCATCTTTGATTCCCCAGAGTCTAACGCAGTACCTAGCACACAGGAGAAACTCATTAAATACTTAATAAATAACAAATAAATGAGTAACAGATATTTCTAGCATTAATAAAGTAACAATCAGGATTAGCACTGAAATAATCCTTACAATCTTTAGACATTTTCCACAGAAGTAGACATATACACATTTTTATAATCATAATTTTATAATCCCACATTATGACACTACCTCCACTTGAAGTCTTTTCTTTAGGAAAGTCATGTGCTAGCTGGATAGTGGTGGCGCATGTCCTCAATCCCAGCAGTTGGGAGTTGGAAGCAAATCTCTGTGAGTTTAAGGCTAGCCTGGTCTACGGAGCAAGTTCCAGAGGTACAAAGAAAAAAACCCTGTCTTAAAAAAAAAGGTTGTATGTCATTGAAGACAGATTTTATTTCTTTATTTCAAAATAAAGAAAAATGAGCTGTATATAATAGCTCCCAATTGTAAACCAGTTGTAAGGAAAACCTATAAACCTAGTTCTTGGAAAGTGGAAGCAGGGGGATCAGAAGTTCAAGGGTCATCCCTGGCTAACCAGGTCATTGTGCTTTGGTATTTATTACCATTGTAAATAACTAGATCACTTAAGACAAATTATCTCTAACAGGGAACCTTGAAATACCCCATGACAGCCACCAGCTGCCAACCATTGCACAGTTCAAAGCCTGTGGTTACTGATAGTCCCTAGGATTTCTTCAACATACAGGTCCCGGGTTTTCACTTCAGAACAGTGCTGTCTGAGGACAACTTAACTGCCACCATGTCCTTCTTGTCACAATGAACTGGTATCTCTGAAACATGAGGCAAACTGGTTTGTTCTCTTTAGCTGTCTGGTGTCTGGTCCTAGCAATGATGAATGCTGTTATCAAGTGTGTGTTCTGTAAACATTTTCTCTCTGCCTATGTTGTTTTCCTTGGGGTAATTAGTTCATACACACACACACAAAAGCAAAGCATATGTATGCACGTGCATAAGCTGTCCCACTGCAGCTACTATGTGAATAACAGGAAGCAGCAAGTAAGAACGTAGAGCCGAGGCTGATGTAAGCTTGCTGTCCAGAGGGTGAATGTGACTGTCAGGCAGCAGATGTCCCCAACAGCAGCCCCACAGCACATAACACGCATGTCTATTTCAACAAAACTGCATGAGTTAATGGAGTCCATAAAGACTCGAGAAAGGTCAACTCCTTAAATGCCAGGATTTTAAATCATTTCACTCAGAGATGTTAGACCTGACCATTATATAACATGAAGTTGCCGGGCGGTGGTGGCGCATGCCTTTAATCCCAGCAGTTGGGAGGCAGAGGCAGGCGGATTTCTGAGTTCGAGGCCAGCCTGGTCTACAGAGTGAGTTCCAGGACAGCCAGAGCTACACAGAGAAACCCTGTCTCGAAAACCAAAAAAAAAAAAAAAAAAAAAAAAAAAACCCAAACATGAAGTCCGTGATACTTATTAAACAACCTACAACGTAACCATATGGAAACCTTTTTAGAGACTTATTTTTATATTTTATCTATGCTTATTATGTGTGCACCTACATGTGCCTGAGTGCAGGTACCTGCAGAGGCACTGATTCTCCTCTAGTTGGCGCTACTAGCCAGCAGTTGTGGACTCTAACGTGGGTGATGGAAGCAAACTCGAATCCTTTGCAAGAGCAGTATGCATTCTTAACTGGTAAGCGGGTTTCCTGACCCACAAAAAACTTTTGAGATAAAACCACTGCTTATTGTAAAGGTCACTATGTTATAATAATTTTTACAAAAATGGTCACAGTCCATTAATAGAGTTGGAATTTCATTTTACTAAGACATTCCCAACATTAAAAGTACTTCAATTTCTACTAAATAAAATTGGGGGCGGGAGCTGTTCAGTGGGGAAGGGCCTGCTGTGCAAGGATGGGAACCTGAGCTCCATCCTAGGACCACCTAAGAACACAGCTGTGGTGTGGTGCACACTTGCAATCCTTGCACTGAAGCAGCACACACGCACACCCCTGCTCCCATAAAAAGGGTTGTGGGGTAGTCCCTTTCTCTTTTAATACTTACTTTTCTCATCTTTTATAGTTGTGAGCCTAGCCTTCAATGGCTGAGCTATCTGTACAGATCTACTATTTACTTTTGTTAGTCTTACATATGTGCTATGTCCTCATACGCAGAAAGGGCCGACAAAGCCTTGGACATGCATTACTGTAGCAACGCTGTGCAGTCTATGCCATCGGACTCACTTTGAGGAGTAGCACAGAAACAACAAAGTGGAGGACCTGGGCTCAAATCTCTGTGGGTTCCAGACCAGCCTG